AAAACACCAAAAGTCACTTTTTAGTGTTATATGAAGAAACCAAATTGCAATAAAGTCAAAGTTGACAGCATAGATTTTTAATATTTAATGTTTTATCATCTTGAATGTGCTTGCTTTGCATTAGCCATGACAGGTAATGGTGGCCTTGGCAGCCCTTGTCCCAAGTTGCTCAAAGACATAAAATGCTGGTATTACAAATCGTGGTTGGCTTTTAATTTTTTTTAGAATCTTGCTCCTATGGTCTAATTTCTTTTAGTAAAAAATATGTTTTACTATTCTGGGACTTGTCCTAATTTCTTGACTTTTAAAAAACACAGGCCATCCTTGGTTTAATTTTGTACCCTAATGCAAGCTGAAAAATATTCACAAATGTTTTTGGATATCGATTTTGACTTCACTGCTGTCAAGTAAAACAAGCTATTTTGTTTATTATCATTGACTTGTGTGTGATGCAAAGGAATGTAAAATGGCTCTCAATGGCCATAGTGTTGCCACTTAAGATTTCTGTTGATTTAAAATTTGCTCTGGGAAATACTGTAGACCTAAAGAGGCTTTTTTTTTTACCTGTTTCTTCTGAAGACTAATTTTATCTTTTCATATCATTTCTTTTTATCTGCTTCGTCTCTTAAAGGAAAAAGAAATAATAGAGAGAGGCTGAAAAGAAGGTGATGAAAAGCAGCCAAGGAAAAGAAATCAACATTAGATTGTATCTCTGCTTTATACGAGGCTCTGTTCTTAGCTCTTTACATATTATTCTTTCATTTTATCCAAATAATTATCCTGTGAAGTAGCTATTGATTTTACAGAAGAGAAGTAGGATTTAGAAAGGTTACCCAGTTGGTCACTGGTAGAACTGAGATTTAAATTCAGATGTCCCTGACTCCACGACAGGCTCTTTGTGCTGAGCCACCTGGAAGAGACCTTACAGACTATCCAGTCCAACCTCCTCATTTTTTTTTTTTTTTTTTTTTTTTTTGAGACTGTCACCCAGTCTGGAGTGGAGTAGCGTGATCTCAGCTCACTGCAACCTCTGCCTCCTGGGTTCAAGGAATTCTCCTGCCTCAGTCTCCTGAGTAGCTGGGACTACAGGCGTGCACCACCATGCCCGGCTAATTTTTGTGTTTTTAGTAGAAGCAGAGTTTCTCCATGTTGGCCAGGCTGGTCTCGAACTCCTGACCTCAGGTAGATTGATCTGTCCACCTCAGCCTCCCGGAGTGCTGGGATTACAGGTGTGAGCCACCACGCCCGGCCGTCATCTAATATTTAAATACGTACAGTACACATATTGTTGCCATGTATCATTTTATCAGTCAGAGACTGTGCTAAGCACCTTACATACATTATCTATCTAACGTGCATACTAACCCCAGGAAGCATAGGTAAGTTAAATAACTTGCTTAAAGTCATTGGTCTAGGAAATAATATGGTATAGATGTCAATCTGGGATTGTCTGACTCCAGAGTCCAGTGCTCTACCCTAGTATCTCAATTTTTCCTCTCCATAAAAATACTGAAATTGATTGAGGTGAAGTCACATTTCTAAGACCATCAGCTCTCTTTGGCAGAACGGAGCCTCGACTCCAGATTTCTGACTGCCAGTTGTTTGCTCTTTCTACTCTTCTACAGTGGTGTCACATGATCAGAAGTGGAATAGAATGAAAGCCCAACCAAAATGGACTGGAGCACTTTGTGGCATCCTGTGGCTGCACACCTCAGAGTTCAACTGTCCGCAGCCTCATAAATTGCTAGGAAATTTGTTCCTCTGAGAAATCAGGTGTAGAAATGCCTTTATGAGTTATGGCTTTTAAAAATACACATATCCACACATGGTTTTCCTTTTTGTATCAGCGAACACTGAATATAATAAATCAGCAAAGAGATTTCTGATAGTTCACCTTATAAATTGCTTTAAACTTTAGTTACAGTTAAACTAGAGTTATTCATTGATATTATTTTTTAAATTTCTGTATTGTGAAGAGGAAAATGTCAAATAGTTCTTTTCTCAGAAATACTGGAAACATCTCTAAATTTAAGCAAGTTTCCAATGCAGTGTGTATAATCAATCACCTGTCTCTGTTTCAAGATTGTCAGCCACAGAATGGAAACTGTAGTACTTACCAAAGGATCAAGTACTGAAATAAAAATAATCTGCCTTTAACAGTTGTATGGTTTCCATAAATTAAAGTGGTTTTCTGGAAGAAATTGGTTGTTATCTTTACTGAATGAGCAGCAACGCCTGTTGACCTTTGATAGGTGGAACCTGGAGTATGATTTGGGCCTTGCTTCTTGGTTCCTTTAGCATTTGCTGAGTGCCTACAGACCACATGTAGAGATGGTGGATAGCATGATGAGAGAAAGAGAAACATGGATGATGCCAGAAGACCCTGTTCTTACCCTCCCCAAGATTAGTAGCTGTGTCAAATCAAGTAGAGAATGCAAAAATCTCTCCTTTTGAATTGGTCCTTTCCCCTTTATATTCTCCCTTACATTCAGTCAGTGCTGTCTTGATCCCATAGCAGTGATAAGAAATATCACTCCTTGCTTGATAAAGAATGTTGTAGTGTATCTGCCTGTCACATGCACCCAGAGCATAGCTTGTCCTGCCACAGGAAGCATTCAAGTTTCTACCTTTCATCTTATGCACACACTGGTGTAAGTTGTAAAAAAAGAAAGATAAATTATAAAGACATAGAAAGCCCACCGTCTATGCACAAGGGTTGAAACCCCAGCCTATGGTACACCTTTTATCCTTACGAGGGGTGAAGTCTGTTTGGGCAAGTACATACACTGAAGACCCAAAGACTTATGTCACATTGAATGTGAATTTGTTCATATCACTTAACTCCCCTGAATCTCAATGTCTAAATGTTTAAGAAATCAAGGTAAATGCTATTTGTTGGTCTAGGAGAAACTTTTCTGTCTTCTCTGCATAAATGCATCTTGGTTCTGCTGCCCTTTCTTGTTATTCTGGTTTCTGTCCCTGTGAGGAAGAACGAGCAAGATAGTCTCTCTGCGGAATGGCTATAAATAATGAGATGGCACCCTTCAGCCATGTGCTGGACCTACATCCATGTAAATGGAAGTCCTTATGAGACCTTCCTGCCAGGCTTCAAACCTAGACTTCTGCATGAACTGGACTTGTTCTGGATTTTTTCAGAGTGTGTGTATTTGCCATGAGAGAAACCAGTCTTACTACTTAATTGTCACCTCTTGTTTTTTATCCACCGTCATCCCAACTCTATTATTGGCTAGTGCTGCTCTAAAGGACTTTCATTTGTTTTCTGAATTGAATTCCACCCTTAAAAGAGGAGCATGTGGTACTGCTAGTGTCAGTCTGTGGAGAATATTGCTGTCTCTGAAGTAGCATAAGAAATATTTTGAGTAATTATTGTAACAATGGTCTCCTAAGCTTTTGAGTGGAACTTACTGTGTTTAAGTTTTGTAAGTTGATTTGAAAAACAATTTCTTTATAATCATTTTACGTATATTGTATTTTCTTTAAAAATGATAAGTGAATGAGAAGTTGCTGGAGAACTTTTGGGACAGTGGTAAGAGGTGGCCTAGTGAGGTTGACAGATGGATAGGTTAACTCAGGGGTTGAGGGTCACTGGAAGTGACTGAGGGGCACTGCAGATTCCCCAGAAATCCACTCTGCTCCAGTCAGGGGGTGGTTTCAATTAAAAGGCTTATTTTTTGTGACATAAATCATACTTCTAAGAACAGGTAATTTATTGTTTAATTGAAGAGAGAACTCTTCCTATACCAAGAGATCACATGATTTTGCTCCACTGTTTTGTCTACCACTGAATATATTATTGTGTCCTTTAAAGCTATAGAATTTCTTTAGTCATTTGAAAATGTTTTATTTTGCAAATTTTAGTGTTCAGATTTATAGCTTCATGTATTGAATAAAGGGTTTCTGTCATCTTTTTATGTTTAAAAATCATGTCTTCATAAAATATTATTTTATGTCTACAAAAGAACCTTCCTACAAATACACATATGCTTGTCTATAGGTTGGTACAAAAGTAATCGTGTAGTTTTTGCCATTACTTTAATTACTTTAATGGCAAAAACCACGATTACTTTTGCACCAACCTAACTACTGACTAAACTGATAACTAAAGTTTGAAATAATGAAAAATATAGGAAACAGGCTAGTTTGTCATCCTTGAAAGCATTGGTCCGGAGTGATGTGATTAGGAAAGTTAGGACAGTTTTGTAAGTCAGTGATCCTTGTTGACATCATTGATGATCCTTGTTGACATCCTTTGTTTTTATTATGCTAAAGGAAAATAATGGGTTGATTTCCAGAGATGTAACTAAAAGGAAATGTGGCCATAAAAGACTACCTGTTTATGTTCCAGCACATATATTTTCTCTAGAAATAGTTAATTGAAGCTTTTATATAAGTTTACATTGGACACTGAAAATGTAATGAGAATGTCTTTTGAAATTGGTGTTTTAGAAATTGCAGAATGGAGGACAGATCACTTTTTTGGTCCCCTTTGTGTCCCTCTCTACTTCAAAGGTGTTTCTCTAGGGAAAAAAAAGTAGCTTTTGTGCATAAAAGATAGCTACTTATAAGTGCCTACTATGTGCAAGGCGAAATCAGGCTAAAACACTGAAGGGAACCACAAAGAGGAAAATGCCACCAAAAATACCAAGTCACTTCTAACCATTTGATTTTTTTGTGTAGAAGCTTCAGTTAGTATTTTAGTAAGGATCAGAGCCACCTTTTGCCTCCTATACACCAGCCGTCATAGTAATTATAGTGCTTTAGAGCCGGTCGACCCTTGGAGTAGGGAACAATGACTAAATTGTATGTAAGATGAAATAAATGGTGGCAATATGCATATTGGTAAGAGCCTTTGTTCTTCATTCTTTATATGTTAAAACCCTCCTAATAGTATATTCACGTGGCTTTGTTTGCCTAGTGACATCACAAATGAAAAGAAAAAAGACGTGTTTCATTTAACATTTATATTTTCTTTATTTTAGGGCGTGTTGGAGAGTTTCCTAGGCACTGCTGTCTCTGGAGCCATCTTTTGCCTTTTTGCTGGTCAACCACTCACTATTCTGAGCAGCACTGGACCTGTCCTAGTTTTTGAGAGGCTTCTATTTAATTTCAGCAAGTATGTACATACATATTTAATTGCAAATTAGAATTGCTTAATTGTAGAACCTTTATAGGCTAGATAGAGCATAGAATAGTGATTAGGCAGATCTAAAAATCACTCAGAATACTGGAATGTTCAGATGTGAGAGGTGAAAGGGTCTTAGCAATTAGGTAGTCACCACTTGTTTCAGGTATGATTCGACTGAGACTGTTACGTTGTGTGCGTCCTTGCTCCCTTCCCACTTTTTCTCTTTCCTGTTGTCCTGCCATATGCTCTAGAGGCTGATGCCTGTGGACAGCAGCACCCATGCCCCTTTGCCTTCTGGCTTCCTCTTGGGTTTGGCTAATGGGGAGCACCAACAGAACGGGAAGAGAGAGAGAGAGAGGTCTGAGTATGTCTGCCTTTCCCCAGCTCACCATCTTTGTTTTAGCACAGCATTCTGGCAGTGCTTATCCCTGAGGACTTCAGCCCCTGTCAAGTGGCTTATCCACCTTGACTCTAGCCCTCACCAGGCTCTGGTAGCTCTATTCCTTCCTTGGCCTTTTCAAGCCTGAAGTTAGTAGTGGCTTCCTGCTGTTGATGGTCCCTGAGTGCCTTGCCATTTGTTGTTACTTCAGAATGCCTTCTATTTCCTGCCATGATCCTGACCAACATACTAGAGAAATTAAATTGATTAAGTTCACATCATTCAATAATGAAAGAGACAGGATGCTCTTTACTTAATCCACTGCTCTTCACCCCCAGTTTCATGTTCTTAACTAAAGATAGCTTCCAAAACTCAGCTGAATAAATACCTGACATTTATTGAGAGTTGATCATGTACCAAGTATTATCCTAATATATGTACTAACTCATTTAATTCTTACAGCAATCCTGTGAGGTAGGGACCACATCCTGATTTATAGATGAAAAAGTAAGCACAGGAACAATAAGCAAATTGCCTAACATTACATCACAAGTCATCAGTGGGGCTGGGATATGAATTCTTGCTTTCTGACTCCAGAGTCCAAGTCTCTTCAGGAATCACTAGACGTTTCTAATGGGCATCATAATTATGATATCAGCATTTTCTTTTAGAAATTGATGGATCATTTTAAGAAGGGGAAAAATTAGTTAAGTGAATTATCCAAGTGGCCACATTAATACACAAGTAGATTCAAAATCAGCTTGGGTCTTCTACCCTCTTTCTAATGTAATTGATACCTCTAAGAGAGAATCGCCTTTACTGGCAGATCTCAATCCTTAGGTAGATTGAAGAATGTCTCATGCCTTGCTGGCACTCCTTGTCAGCATTCCCATAGTCTTACATTGTTATACAGTTTTAGGATTTTAATTTTAGAATTGTCATTACCTTCATAGTACATCATGGACTTAACGGACTCATATATAGCCTTTAAAAGTGTGTATGTTATCAAAAACAGTCATAGGATGGAGGCGGGAAAGAAGATTTAAAACCAGTTTTTTTGAAAACAGGGTTGAGGACATTAGCAGGAGTCTTTTGAGAATGTAAAAAGTTCCAAATATTAAGTAATATTGTGAGTTTTCTGTAGGTAATTATTACTATAAATCCTTTCTCATAATTCTCAGAACATTGGAAAGAATTTTATTCTTGTCAGTTTATAGAAAGAGTCAAACAGTTTTTATATGTTTAAGGAAACATTGTGTGAGACAAGAAAGCCTTTGTAGAAAGATTAAACAAGGATGTACTATAAACAGGAACAAACATGCACAAACTTTGCAGAAAGATTTATTGGATGAAATGTGACCAGAGCCTTAATCTACAGAAAATGTTTGCATCCCAGTTTGTTTTAAGTAATTGTGAGATACAGATTATTTCCTTTTACTAAGCAAGTTCCTTTCACATTCTCCTTTTTTTAATCATAATTGGTAACATAACATAGTTCCAAGTGATTTATTTGATAACAGTTGTAAATCAACAAGAAACATTTGAGAAGCCATGCTTTAAATCCATCACTGAGCAATATGTGGCAAGCATTATTTTAATCACAATGCTATATCATTTGTTTGTGTAATAGCACCTGCAGTGATAATATTCTGTCTAGATACAAAATATTTGGATAGATCACTGTTTCCCAAAGTGTGTTTCATCTATTACTAGTCTTATTCCACGCTCCATGAAAAAAAACTTCTGTGGTCCCAGTAAGTCTGGGAAGTGCTGTATACTGTATACCCACCTCTTGGTAATTCACTTTAGACTTTAGCATGCAAGAGATCTGAAAAAGTCCTTGTAAGAACTAGGTAAGAACTATTTTACTTTGTCTTGCCCAGATTTTCCCCAACATGTTTTACCACTGTTGAAGAATAGGTAGATCCTTGCTTTGTAGGTTCACTGGACTCAAACTCTGTATAATAATGGATTTATTTCTGAGGTTTTGATATTTGCCCTGTAAACTGGAGAATTATTTTAAAGGAATATGAATGATATGCTGCCATCTCTTAAAATCAGTAATAGAAGGAAGAAAATAGCTCACAACTTTTCAAAGGACACTTGTAGTTTTATTTCCCAAATTCTGCAATCCGTTTTGCATTGTTTTTACACATTTTATCACAATAATAATTAGATTCCTTCTTTTTACTTGAGTGAGGAATCTGAAAGATGTTTCAGCAATGTGTTCTAAGCTATATAAAAACTTCACAATTAAGGTTGAATTTTAACTTGTATTATTATCATTTGGTCATTCAGTATTTTTTTTCCTATATTTTTTAAACAGTTTACTTTTAAGCCTTCAAATTTTTAATTCTTCCATGATATTACTGGGTGTATTCTTTTAGGGAGTTTATATTTCTTTGTCAGTGGCTGCACATTAATTTCTGTAGCATATTTCAGATATGACTTCTTCGGTTTATCTGTATCCTTGGTTTTATGCTACTGAGAAACTATGATTCAAAATATCTAGGAACACTGAGTGGTGCCATAACGATATGAATCTATTTTTTCCTTCTAATTCACCATAATTTCTTCTTTGGTCTCTAATATCATTTCCTGTTGCTTTTTAAAACTTAATTGCTATTTAAATTTGGCACGAAGGGAATTTATTGGATGTAATAATACCATTTTACTGCAGTCATTACTGATGATCAACTTATTTAAATTTTTCTCATTTCTTATTCCTCTTTCTTCTTGATGCTCTACACATATCACTTTCATAATGAAGTGCCATTGGCTTTATTGACTTTATTTGGGTCATTCTTGTTGAACTACTCTAGAATTGCTTAAGTCTTTTAAAGCAGATAGTTTAGTATATTGTTTAGATTCTAAGGTTTAAGTTTATACATGTGTCTTTTCCTTTGTACCCAAAGTAATGTTGTTCCTAACCATTAGCTAGTTAATGGATTTGTTTCTCATCCTATCCTGTAAACATTAAATCTATAAACAACTACTAGTATTCCTAAAACAAATCAAGATTGCTCTTTCATCTTCTTGCTAGGGTAGCAAAACTAGGTAATTGTTTAAAATTTTTATTTTAGGGAAAAAGTATGTTGGCTCAGAAGTAACAAAACTGTGTTTCTTAGTTGTTATTCTGACACTGACTCATTGTATGATAATGTAAATTATCTGAAATTTCTAGAACTCAATTTTTTCTATAGTTTACTTATCTCACATAGGCATGCATAGGATTAAAGCAGTGGTGTTCTGGACATAAAGCAAACTGCAAAGGAAAGTAAAAGTTATCTTCAGAAGGATCCCATAAAGTCTATCGAAGATAACTTACCCCAGTATTAATGATCTCCTTCTTCAGTAATGTATTTCAATTGCGTGATTAGATAAGAAGAGAGAAACAAAAGACAATGACTTTTAATATTCACCCTATCTAGAGCTAAATACAAATTAGATGGGGAACCATGCTGTAATTTTTAAAACGAACACCTAAGAATCAAGAGATTTGGCTTCTGGTCAAGCTCTGTCATTAAAACCTTGATGTTGGATAAATGATTTAACTTCCATTGGTCTTGGTGTCCTTACCTATAAAATGAGACGTAATTTGACAGATTGGTGTCTGTATTAGCCAGTGTTCTCCAGCGAAACAGAACCCATAAAATGTGAGTGTGTGTGTAGATTTATTATAAAGAGTTGGCTCATGCAATTATAGAGGCTGAGGAGGCTGGCAGGCTGGAGACCCAGGGGAGCCAATGCTCCAGTTTGAGTCTGAAGGCTGTCTGCTATAGAACCAGGAAGAGCTGATGTTGCAGAAGTTCAAAGGCAGTCTGCTGGAGAATTCTCTGCTGCCCTGGGGAAGGTCAATCTTTTTTGTTTTATTCAGGCCTGCAACTGATTGGATGAGTTCCCCCCCACATACTATGGAGGGTGATCTGCTTTACTCAAAGCCCACCAATTTGTATGTTTATTTCTCCAAAAACACCCTAACAGAAACACCCAGAATAATGTTTGACCAAATGTCTAGGCACTTTGTAGCCTGGTCAGGACATAAAACTAATCGTCACAGTACCTAAAGAACTTTGAATTCTAATATTCTATAATTTTTAGCTATCACAGGAACAGTCATGTCTTGGTTGCATGAGATATAGCTCATAGGTCAGTGTCAGTAACTGTCTCAGGCAAGTCTTAAGTACAGACATGCATTTATTCATCCTGCAAGTCTTTATTGGGCACTTTCTATGTGCGAGACACTGTGCTAGGTAAAGAATTTGAATTTTATTCTAAGGGCAATGGGAAGCTATTGAAAGATTTTAAGCTGGGGTGTCTGACTTTCATTAAAAATGATAATTTTGGCTGTAGTGTGGAAAATGGCTTTCAGTAAGGCAAGTATAGATATCAGTAAGGATATCAATGAGGGGGTGTGTATCAGGCAAAAACTTACCTGTAGGTTGGGTAAGATTGGGTTGGTGCTGATAAAGGTGGAGAGTTGATTGCCTATGGGAAAGTTTTAAGATATATCATCAACAGTTATCAGAAACTCATTGTCTAAAAGCAAGGTTCTAGAGTGTCCAGCATGCACAATCCTTGACTTTTTTCTTATTCTTATGCAAGTAATATATACTACTACCCGCTTTTTCATCACAAATAAATTGAGTTTAAAAAATCATTATAAAGCACTCTCCACATACTTTTAAAGGAATCAGTATAAAATGGTAAGACATTAACACTTGACCCATCCTTTCAGAGTTGTGAATCTTGAACTATTAATAATTCAGTTGTAAGAAATGGGAAAGGCCTCAAAAGACGGTGATCTCCTTAGATGGAAGTAGCCTATTCTAAGTCTGCTGTGGGACAAACACAGAAGGATGTTGGTCGCAAGATGCTTCACACCCAGCTTCAGCAGAAGAATATCAGATCTGTGGGCAGACTTCATAAGCTCCATAAGACGTGGAAGGGTCTGGCAGTAGCATGGCAAGACAGCCTTTCTTGATCTGATGACAGCTCATATTTCTAATTCCACCTCATGTTGGTGGCAGTCTGTCCACACACAGTGAGCAGTACAGGCCATCTTGTGCCATGTTATCTTTTTAACTACTTTTTCCTCTTCCTGGCCTTGCTCTCTCTGGTCTGTCCAGAAAGTTTCTACTACTTATCCCTGAACACCTTGAATTTTTTCTGCAACTTCCTCTTTCCTTCCAACCAGAATTAGTTACTCCTTCTTCTGTAATATTATCACTTACTATTTTATAGTGTGATACATTTATCGATTTGTTTCCCTCAGTAGACTGTGATGACATAGGGACAGAAAACATATTGATCTTAGTGTCTTTATGAACCCATAAAGCTCATACAAACATTTATTGAACACATACTAAGTACCAGTGTTAGGTTTGCAAATTATTTACTCTATAAACTCTAGGAAGGTAGGGACCATATTTTTTGAATGAGAAAAATAATAAGGTTTTCACATATAAATGATATAACTACTCTGAATGTGTTTTCCTCAAATTTTTATTGTTTTGAAATTGTATCATTAGACTAAATTCTTAAACTTAGTGCTTTCTGGCTGAAATAGAGTTTCACATTTAGTGGCTAAAGGTGATCTTGTATTTTTGTGAATCTTTCTGTAGACATTTGGTAGTTTTATATTATTCCTTGTGTTCCAAGGAGGAGGGATCTAAACACCTTTCTTTCTTTTTTCCAGGGACAATGATTTTGACTATTTGGAGTTTCGCCTTTGGATTGGCCTGTGGTCCGCCTTCCTGTGTCTCATTTTGGTAGCCACTGATGCCAGCTTCTTGGTTCAATACTTCACACGTTTCACGGAGGAGGGCTTTTCTTCTCTGATTAGCTTCATCTTTATCTATGATGCTTTCAAGAAGATGATCAAGCTTGCAGATTACTACCCCATCAACTCCAACTTCAAAGTGGGCTACAACACTCTCTTTTCCTGTGCCTGTGTGCCACCTGACCCAGGTGAGGGCATCACACTTTGTGTTTATGCTTGCTTCGTATTTGGAGAAAGGTGTAGGCTCCTTGCTTGCAAATATTCAGCATGCTGTCATGGTCCTCAGGAATTAGTCTTGTTTTTTGTCTGAAAAACTGTGCTACTGAATTTGACGTCTCATTGCCTGAGGTATTTTAGCTGTATGATTCAACCAGGAAGGAGACCAGGAGCTCTGGAATGTGAAAATAACCAACTCAATATTTTGAAATTAACTCAAACTGTGGGATTTGCAAGGAATTTATGTGTACATTATTCTTGATTTTATAAGTGGGGAGACCTGGATACATGTATTAACAGATATAAATATGTGACAAACTTACCCTCTGCTGCTTCTTTATTGGTGTAGGAATCTCTTCCTTTAAGTAAACTTTTAATACATGATTTTAAGCTTATAGAAGAAAAAGATACTAACCCACTTCAGACAATTTGAAGCATTAAATTAAGAAAAAAGAACTTCAGATTGGAATTGCCTAGCGGTAGAATTTTATAGTTTATCTCTGCTAGACAAATAAGAAAAGAAAGGAAGAGAGAAGAAGAAACAAAAGAAGGAATGTGATGTTCTAGGAGTAGATTTATATTCTAGAGTCCAGAAGGACATAAAAACAAAAGTAATTCCTGGAAAGGAATGTGATTCTCTATATCTTAGCCCTTTAAAATCTATCATACCAAACGTGAGTTGATATCGTAAGTTTTTCACAAAAAAAAAAAAAAAAAATGTTCAGCTTGGTCTTTGGAATTCTTTGTTGGAGTAATTCCATGATAAAATTCCATTTTATAATATGAAAGGCATTTCAAAAAAGGATTTACTTTGAGGGAAGTTGTTTTAGATCTTCTCTCGTATAAAAAGGAATAGGGACTGGGTGCAGTGTCTCTTGCCTATAATTTTGAAATTAACTCAAACTGCAGTATTTGCAAGGAATTAATGTCTATATTATTCTTTGTACAGCACTTTGAGAGACTGAGGCAGGTGGATTGCTTGAGCCCAGGAGTTTGAGACCAGTCCGGGCAACATTATGAAACTCTGTCCCTACAAAAAATAGAAAAATCAGCCGGGTGTGCTGGCACGTACCTGTAGCTACTCAAGTGGCTGAAGGGGTAGCAAGACTCTGTCAAAAAAAAAAAAAAAAAAGAAAGAAACAGAAAAAGGGATAGGCATTTGTGTCAGACAATTAAATGTTAGTAGCACTGGTGATCCTAGGTCATGCAATTAGCTACAGGTCTGTGTCCCTTAAAATAAAAATTGATATACAGTCCATACTTTTTACTGAGGTCTTTTAGTACCAGAAGTATAGCAGTGTTCAAAGGGCTGGGACACAAATATGGGGCACATTCATGCAGTATCCACTGTGATTTATAGATTCTGAGGAAAAAGCTCTTAATGTTTACCGTAAAACTAACATGGTTATAGACTAGAATACAGAATGCTTATGAATTTAAAAAATAAGCAAGATATTACAAATTATTTTTATGCTTGTGGCATGCCGTTTCAGATTGTTCCTAGATATTTTGGTATGCAATTCATTCTTCTCTGCCACATTGGTGGAGAAGTCTTAGAAGACCGGTATGTGTCTTGAATTGAGAGAAAAGAGAACACTACTTCCCTCACAATGAGGCAGTCAGTAACACTGACGACAAGCTAGGGCCTTGTTGGACTTTGCACTCATGGATTCTTTTTGTGTTAAGAAAAATCAGCACACATTAAAATAAGACCCATATTTAAAAGCAATGCAGAAAGATACACAAAGTAGAAATTTAAAGATTCAGACTAACAAAAATGCCATATAGTTATAAAAGCTAACTAGTGTTCAGCTGTATACTGATTTGAAATATTTGATAGTACTTGGAAACAAGCACAATATATATCACTCCACCCTTGATATATATTATTATTAGAATCAATTAAATGTGCTCCCCAGAGAAACACAGATGTTACTGTCACTCAACTATATGGAGCTCTTCCTAGGAGAGAAGGGGGATAAAACTCCCAATAACCATACAACCTGGACTTTCAGGGAAGTCCAGGTATTCAAAATATTGGCTTTATAAACATTTAATTGTGAGATTTTCAGCCTTGCCTTACATGTATTAATTTATATATAAATATATGTATACGTTTATTTATGACTTCTTAGACAGGTTTGAGTAATCATACACTAAGATTTTCTAAAGGAAAAAAAGTACTTTGAGGTATTCATGAAGCCAGAGGAGGGCTTTGTCACCACACCTGTCACACGGAAAAAACCATCTAATGTCAACCCCATACCTACCTGAGGCGAATGGAAACTTGTGTTGGTTGTTTTATTATTTGGATGTTAGAGAAGGTAACATGAAACCAAGGAAGACATATCTAAATGTGTTCAAATTATAAAAAGTACTATGGTTTTACATGTAATCTTCCTTCTAAGAAGGATCTTTGTTTTTTTTGAAAAAGTGACATTAAGGGTGGAACCTATTTTATACTTGCATGGCAAGTGCTGGCATAAGTGGTGATAGCTTTTCCTTTGTCCAGTTTTTCCCAGGTTGTGTAAAAAGTCAGTGCTGAGTAACTAGGAAGTTGTCCAGAAGGACTCTGGCAATTCCTGCTACCTCTAGTTGGTACCAATAAAGTAGTATCACAGGGCTTTTAAGTCAGAAGATCCTATATTCAAGTCCTGGTTTGGCTAAGGCCAAATGTGTGACTTTTAGCAAGTACCTTTTCCCAAGGTAGCTTAGCCCCATCTTCCTAATCTGTAAACTAAGGTTAATAATAGTACTTACCTTATAGATTTATTTTGAAGGAAAAAGAAGAGCTATTACAGATAAAATTCTTATGACAGTTTCTAATATGTAATAAGTAATCAACTGTTAGCTGCCATTATTATTGCTATTACCGATCCTTAAAATTTAGGGTTAGTATTTAGCCTTGAAGTGTAAGTAATAGAATAAACAGACCTGTCTTTGTCATCCTTCCTTCTAGGCATACCTTGTTGGGCAGTTGGCCCATTTTGCAACAAGAGTGTTGGTTGTACCTCTTATTGGTACTCATGAAAGATATATATGTGAATGTGAAGAATTATTTGAAACTATGGAGATGAAATCTGTTTGTGGTTTGGAAAAAGGCAATGGATAGTTATTTGCATTTTCATGACAATTTCATATTTAACAAAACCCCATCAGATTAATGATTGTGTATCTCCCCCATAACCTTAGTACTTTTTGACAATGTTAATACTTCTCCATAACCTTACTGCTTTTTGGTAGCAAACTGAATAGATTCATCATAAATTTAGTATTTCTTGATATCAAACTGAAAGATGATAGTGAGAGAATAATACAGTTGCATATACAGCTCAAGTAAGTATTCTAAAAATAACAAAAGACTGGCCTTTCATCACAACATGGACTCTTAGTAAAATAATTCAATGAGTCAATAATATTTAAACTGGCGTATGACTTGTTTTTCAACACTGGGACAGTATGTATCAGTGAACCAGCAATTGCACAGATGGAGTCGTGATCCTGCAAACTGAGAAATGATTTTACAGGAATGGAAATAGGGGCCACTAATTACTAAAGAAACCTCTCTTCATGGCCACAATATATTGTGGCTTTTTTGTATGTGTGTGCTTTGTCAAGGCAACACTTCCTTTTCTCTTTTTTTCTTTTTACTTCTCACTTGCTTCCAGAAAGCCTAATCATTTCCTAATTTTTCTTTTCTAAATGCACTTTTTTCTCCATTCATTTTACTCCCAACTACTGCTTGGTAACCCAAGTCATGCACATAGGTTTACTGAGCAACTAAGGAAGCTCAGTTGCAAGTACTAGTAGGAAAATCAGTCAGAAAGTTTGACATATGTGAGTGGATACATGCCATACATGGGTGGTTTTTGTGCTAAGATTTGCTTTTCTTAGAAATGGGATAGCTATTAATTAGTAGAGGAAATGGATGTTAAATTTTCCACTGTACTTCGACGATTACATAGCAGAGTGTGTAAGAAAAAAGATAATTTAGTTCAAAAGCCAAAAGCGAGAACTAAAAAATATCCAGTTGAAGAATAATACACAATATCTAATTTGATCACCAACATCCCAATTTAGAAATGTTAATGTGATAAAGTGTAAATACTGTGTGCTTTAGAGTAAACAAAACTGAGTTTAAATTTCGTTGTTACCCTGAACTAGGCTGATTACTTAATCTCTTTGTTTGATAATCTCTGAACTGGGTTAGTATCTGTGCCTATTCTTAGAGGTTACTATAAAGGTTAAATGAGATAGTATATGTAAAATTGTTTGGCACCTAATGGACATTGAGTAAAAATTTGTTCTTTTTCGTATTTCTCACTATCCTACAAAAGATGCCCCAGTGAATTTAATCTTATAATAGTTGTATTCTTTAAAGATTTCAAACATTTAATTTTCTCATACATTTTCCTAGGGAAAGATACTAACAAGGCTTCTACTGCAAGTCGGCCTTCTCCCCAAAAATTAACAACCAGTGTGCTGTTACAGACAAATATGACACATTGAAACTGTATTTACAAAAAAAATGTTAAGGCTTCAGTGCATTGTAGTTAGAGTAATTAATACTATTCCATTGAATCTCGAGATTACAAAAGTGTTGTATACTATACATAGTCATTAAGAAAAAGACTTTAAAGTCCTAGAGGCAAGGTGTTCAGTTCTTTTAAGAGGAATCTCTTTAATTTATTCAAAAACGTAAATACTAGAATTTTGGAAATAGGGAACAGAACATGGGCATCCCCCCAACTCTCACTTGTTCTCTCTTCTGTTCTCTGTGCTTTTAAAATTCTCATTCATTCATCAACAAACATTTTCTGAGGGCCTGTTTCCCTGCTTTTTAAGAATTGTGCAGAAAATTTTTGCAATCTATCCATCTGACGAGGGCTAATATCCAGAATCTACAAGAAAAAAAAATAACCCCATCAAAAAGTAGGCAAAGGATGTGAACAGACACTTCTCGAAAGAAATT